CCTACTTTGAACATAAGTTAAACTATCAAAGTGAAGGATAAATGTGAAGCTAACTTTTTATTTGATTTAGTTCTTATACCTCGAAGAATGTGTTCGGAACGAATCTATGTGCAGCTGATTACTATCGCTTTTCAACTGCAGGTCAGTTCAGTTAGATGTTCACCTATCACCTTTCTTCATTTCTCATAACCACTCCCTTGGGATGTTTCTCAGTCCTTTCTCAGTCAGATTAGAAGTAATTCCCTTGACTACTGCTGCTGCTTCTCTATGGTCCTACCTTCGACTCCCTATCGATGCTCGACTAGACCGGCCAAGCCTTCTATCCTTTCGGGGTCGCTTGATTCATAACGCTCGAGTCTGGGAAGCCAAATCACTGACATGCACATTGACTGTCCACAGCGAGTACTTCTAGGCTTCCCCATACACTTTGACTGGCACTTTCATTATTTCCCGTCAGAAAAATAAAGTTCTCTCAGGAAATTAAAACTGGCTCGAGCTGGTTAGGCACTTGGGGGTGGGTGAAAAGGCTGATTTCTTTTCCTATGGCCTCCTTCTCTTTGATTTGACTGGTTAGGGAATGCGAGTATTTTCTTTGGAGTACCTCTCTATTCCTTTTTCGACAGTTTTTTCCTTCATTCCAATTCCTAAATGTATTGATATCACCTCGAGACACCAACAATGAGCTGATTAACCCTTTTTTAAGGGTGCACTCTCGTTAGCCGTAGCGATGGATCGTTTTTTCGCGGTTATGTTTCCTTTTAGATATTTTAAATGCGGAACAACCTACAATCTTTCACTTGGTGTAGGTGAGTGAGTCAACGTTCACATCATTTATACAGAAAACAGCTGAATTCCAGTTGACTCATGGTAAACAAGTCCGTAATCTTTGTCCTTATTTGGAATCATAGGTCTCCAGTGAGGAGGACTTTCCTGAACTCATGACCAGCAATAAAGCAATAGAATTGGTGGGCTCTCAGAATGGGGAAAATTCTTGTCAAGCTCACAATCACGAAATGGGAATAGAATATCAGCGAGCCACATCACATCATACATCGACTTTCGAGAATAATTAGTCTGGGATCACTGGTTTTTTCTTTATGTATAATTTTTATGTGTTATTTATAATGTATTATTTTTATGCACTACATGTAGTTTTTTTTTGCAGTTTTGCTCGTTTTTTCAATCCTCCAATACTTTTAGGCCCCTATGTGCTAGTTATAGTCAGTACGATGGTCAATACGCTTCTGACCGTCCGCGATGAAACACCAGTGTCATCGATCTGTCTGACTCGTGATGCAGTTAATCCTGAATTCTATTCATATATCTTAGTACTACGGATTATTTGTATAAGTATATCGGCCTTAATCTATGTGGTGATATTAACGAAGATCAAGAAGGTGCGTGGCCTTTCATCTACCCCTTATAAATTTGATTACCCACCGGGAACAACCCCTATGTGTGACTTTTCAAGTGGAATGGGACTGTCAGATACTCATCGTAAAGGTTTTCCTCTCTCTATCGGACTCCAGGAACGGAATCAAGGCTACGGGTGTTTCCGCGGGAGATAGTTCTTCCCGTACGACCCAAGTTGGTAGTCTCGAAAGAGTAGTAACGATAGAGACGTAAAGTAGCAATAGTGACACCATAAACATTCTGTTCAAATCGGAAGAAATCCGTAAAAGATAGCGCAGTTTGAGAGCTGAAACTTCTGTCTCACTGTGGTGCCTACTCCTTTCGAACCACTCCATCCGTGACCCTTAGGGCCCTTCCCCATAGGAAGCACCGAGAGGCAGCCGAGCTGTTGTATTGGTTTGGCAGACAGGAACCCTCAAAATCCCATCTTGCAAAAGACCATTGCGAGAAAAAAAATCTAAAAGAATGCAAGAAACCAAAATAGACCTATCAAAACAAACAAACACTGACACTTAACTACGATGAGTTACTTTAGCGGCTACTGCATATGGAACGACGGCGGCATTCTCCAGGATATTCTGCCATAGGTTTCTTGAAGCGTTCGACCGTAACTTTCGGTAAACATTGATTACTTTTAACCCGATGTTTCAAAGTTATTGTAAACAAAGCCTTTTAAGGGTTGACAACCGCAAACGCTGTCGTCTTTCTTTTGATTCCGGATGTGATTAAAGTTACTGGTTTTTTGGAGTTGGCTCAGAAGCGCTCAATTCTACTCTATTCACTGTCCATGACGAATGTGAGTATTTCCGCACGTTCTGATGTACCGTTTCCGTTTATTTACCATGTCGTTACATCCATTCTCATCTTTACCTTTCATTCGGACAAAGTACTTTAATTAATTAAGGTAGCTACGAACAACTTATTCAGACTTGATCAAAAAATCTTTTTCTTCCCTAACAGTAATTATATCAAATCATTCTTTTTCTTTTCAGGTCATACTGAACGCATTCATACTCTTTTTTCGTCATCGTGAAATTCGTAACAACATCAAGCGATTATTCCAAGTATTACAAAATCGAAAGAGATGGATGGGTAATCGGGTTTGGGTGGTGACGTTTAGCAGGATCAATGGATAAACACCTACGCAACTAACTCAGTTTATTTACGTGTATATGTACAACGAGTATAATTTTATAGACTATAGGAATAAATTTGTTCCTCCATATTGATTTTAACGCATCACGGACCTATTTCTTTCTAGCAGGGAGTGATCTTCCTTGCCATTCTGCCCGACACTGTTCCCTGTGCAGAAGCCCGGATACCGGTTGTGGCTTTTGACCTCGGCACATAATCAGCCCAGGAAATGCTCTCCATGCTGAGATTGATACTTTGAGCCAACCGTCTGGGAGGAGGAAGGAAGGTGTGTGGCTAAGGCTGAGCTCGATATCGGAAAGCTATATCCATGCATGCACCCTTGACTCATAAATCTTAATAGAATTACCCTACATAACTCATCAATGAATTATTATAAAAATCTGTCGATCCTAACAAACTTTTTCATCAAAATAAAAATCCAATCATTTCCTGTAGGGAAAATGCCAGAAAAAAAGGAAGAAAAATGTCCTCAAATGATGCCAGACC